CCAGTTTTCTTCCCTGTACATCCTAAAACAATCTAAGATGACCATGCCAAGTAAAAGGGAGAGGGGAAGGGGCACAGCTATTGGTTTTCAATGATGTTTTCTTTTGCCAACACTACTCTGGTCTAATGGTTAAAGTACATGCCAAGGTCCCGGTTCAAATCCAGTCATCCTCATATCAATGCATAAATATACATAAACCATATCTTTGTTCTAGTGCTTTTATCATTTTAATTGTCAAGAAATGCAAAGCAAACCAACAACTGTTAATGAACTTACTTTGAGTTTTCAAGAATAGGAATGCGTGCCAGAACAAACTCACAGAACAGCTCTAGTATGTTAAATGCACCCCGAATGTTCTGCTCTCGAATTACATGCTCCACCTAATTCCAAAAATGTTAACACAAAGTTAATTAAAACCATCATCAAAGTAAACAAACATACACATCCTGGCTAGAAAAACGAGCTCGAAAGGATACCTGGATTCTAGCTATAGCTTCTTGGCCAGCCTGTAAAAATTGGGCTACTCTCAGAGCATTAACAAAATTACAAGTGCATTAGGTATTGACTAACCTTCTTCTTCTCTCAGTAAAACCGAAGGCTACTCTCAAGTACTGTCTTTAATAGGATCCTCAACAGATCTGGAAATTAATAGCAGGAAGCCAGGAATCCAGAGTTAACCACCAACCAAAGCAAGCAAATCAATAATCAGGAAGCTCGACATTATCTTTCAACTGTTTCTGAGCAATCAAACAAACCACTTAAACAATTTCAACACAAGTCATTTTGGACTATAGACATTTAAATTCAATCTAAATATTTATTTCCCACATGAGCAGTGCTAGGGACACTCGCCTTTTGCACTCTCCAGCCAACACTTCCCCTTTCATTGGGCAACGTAAGCTTGTTTCCGGCTTTGTAGTGCAACCTCTTTCGAACCAGAATAACGTGCCCCAATAAAAATGAAAGTGTTGGTCGGAGAGTGCAGGAGGCGAGTGCCCCAAGCACTCCTCTTCCCACATATGTAACTTTGAGACTCGAAAATCAAGCAGAATCCTCGCTTTTTATCAGAAACCAAACAATCAAAAAACAAAAATGAAACCAGTAATAGAAAAGGTGAGCATGCACAGCCTAATGGAATCGTATAGAAATAGAGAGAGAGAGAGGCGGCGGTACCATGGTTGACGGAGAGGAGAGAGCAAGCGGGGCTGCGGTTGGTTGCGCGAAACCCTTTGTCGTTGATGGATTAGACTGGAGAAAACGAATTTTGCAGCTGGGTTCAATGGGTTTTTGAGTTTTACCAAAATCAATTACAAATTTTGGAGATCTGCGGGGAGGGAAGCTCAGAAATTAGGGATGGAAAATGGGGAATCTGTTGAGGGGAGTATGAGTTTTAGCAGAAATGAAGCTCGAAATTAGAGAGGGAATCTCAGAAATTACTTGGGTCTAGTCTACCGGGAAGGGAAGCTCAGAAATTAGGGAGGGAAGCTCGGAAATTAGGGAGGGAAATTGGGTACTCCGGCCGTGGGAAGCAAAAATAAAGAGGGAAATTGGGGACTCTGCGGTGGGAAGGCCAAAATAAAGCAGGCTGAAATTAAAAAGAAAAAATAAAGTGGTTAAGGAATAGGAATTATACAAACAGAGCCCTAATCCGTTTGTAAAGATGTATTTATACAAACATATAATAATTGCCGTTGGAATAGATACACTGTATACAGACGGATAATTGTTAAACCGTTTGTATAAATTAAGTCTATACTAACGGATATATTTTTCCGTTGGTATAGACCCAGGCCTATACTAACAGATATATTTTTCCGTTGGTATAGACCCAGGCCTATACTAACAGATATATTTTTCCGTTAGTATAGACCTATGTATACTAACATGTAAGTTTTTCGTTGGTATATATGATCTATACAGACGGATTTTTTATCCGTTGGTATAAACTTCCGTTGGTATAGGGCATTTTATTTGTAGTGAACTTACCAGATAATCTCCACCGTTCTCCAAAATCAATTTTTACAGATCTAAATATCAATAGTAATTAAATCTGATATGACCTCACCTTATCCATTAACATATGGCATCACTTAAAAAATGTAATTTATGGTGTAAATACATTCTAATATTTTTTGCACCTATGACATTAGCCGCATTGGTTAAGTTGCATCACACTCTTGGCAAATGCTATATATTGTCCTATCCACTGCAATATCCACCTAAATTGTCCCCTTCCCCTGAAATTTCCCATGTTCGAAAAAAATTCGAAAAAAAAAATTCTAATCTTTTGGTTTAAGGCCGAACAGTGACATGTGAATCCAACTATTTTTTTTACTGCACATGTGAATCCAACTATTTGTTGTAAATATACAGTGAAACGCAAAAGAAAATAACCAAATATTCAGCCCAAGTTGTCTGGGCTGGCTCAGTTGAAGACCCTAAAAGCTTATCTGGTCCATTGCTCTTCCCCCTGTTTTACATATTCTTTAGTCTTTACCCGTCTCAATGAAACCAGCCACCAGAAGGCTTATGTTGAAGTATGTAGGTTAAACCCTCTTTTTGGTCCCTCAACTATTGTACAGACCCCCGATTTGGTCCCTGAACTCAAAAAATTCCTGACTTAGTCCCTACTGTTTACCATTTTTATCCCCATTTGGTCCTTCCGTTAACCATCTCTCCACCTGTACTGTTAATTTACGGTAAGATGATGACATGTCAAAATTTTACTCCACGTGAAAGACAACATGGCAAAAACTAGTAACATGGCAATAAAAATTTTAAAAATTATTTCTCCTTCCTCGTCCCCTTTCTCCTTCCTCTTCATTTCCTGGACCCAGAGCTTGGGATCGTCGAACCCAGGCGATGGGATCCTTCAAACCCAGCTGGGCGTTCCTCGTTCCCTTTCTCCTTCCTCTTCCTTTCCTTCTTCATCAATCAATTCATCATCATCATCAAACAACACCCACAAAAATACAGAAATTATTTATTTATTTTTTTGTTGAAGAACCCAGAGCTTGGGTTCCTTTGAAGAACCCAAGCCTGGGTTCCTTCAAAGAACCCAAGCTTGCTGGGTTCTTCAAACCCAGGCGCTGGGTTCCCTCGAACCCGCGCCTAGGTTCCTTCGAAGAACCCAAGCTTGCTAGGTTCTTCAAACCTAGGCTTGGGTTCGAACCCAGGCGCGGGTTCGAAGAACCCAAGCTTGTTGGGTTCGAACCCAGGCGCGGGTTCGAAGAACCCAAGCCTGTTGGGTTCTTCAAACCCAC